ATCAATGAATTGGAGAAGGGGTAGAATGATAACTGTCAATGAAAAAGTCTAGACACTATGCACAATTTTGTTTTGCACATTTTGTAAACAAGATTCAGGGACGGTTTAACAACATTTTGTGCAACAATTATAAAATAGTGCATCGGAAAATAATTTGCAAGTACAATTTAATACTAAATCGAAATAGAAGCACAAAAAATCACAAATATAAGCAAGATAACAAAGAATTGACGCCAACAAAAGCTTACAACAGCCACAACACAAACAAAAAACAGAGATGAACATGAACATAATCACTGAACAAAGCCAATCCTGGAATTTGTTTAGAGTGCTTTAGGGCAACCTCTCCTTGTCATTTGGAGGGTTGAATCACGCATAATTTCTACACTCGTGATGGATGCGCAGACGTTACCTTATCGTTCTACCCTCTCTACTTCTTTGTTCTACATTCAGATCTAATTCTCTATCACGTGATAAAAAATTCACAACATCTCAGATGCATCCGATGTGGATATTCAAACGCGGCATTGGCACAGTTTATAGCTAAACAATCAGTTCGCTCACTCTGCGCCGGCACTTTTGATCTCAATGTTCCAGTTTATACATTGCACAACTCGGATTTGTATCCCTGGCGCATACAGAATCAAATCATAATAGCCCAAGAGCCCACTGTAAATTTTTACCGCCATCTGATAATGAAATAAAATATACCCCAAAAGCTTGTAAAAACATTGTACTTTACCGAATGGCACCTGTGACAATCCCAATCCTGAGTAAAGTGTTTAAAAAAAAATATTTTATATTAAAAAAAATCACATAAGGCATGACAGCGCTAATTTTGTTTGCCCTTAAAGTTTTCCAGATAATAACATATTCAAATATATCGTTAACGGGAAACATTTTCAAAAACATCTACACACGATTAGTAGGTAAAAATCATTAAAAATATGAATTAATTTTTGCTGATTTAAGAATTTATTTGTATGCCTATTGTTGTGATTCATTTTTACAGGTTTGTCATAGAAACGACAAAAAAAACTACTATAATTATGGTTTAAAAGAATTGTCTAACAAGAGTTTATAATTATTATTGACTATCTCTGCCAAAGTTAGGTAAAAATACTAATAATTCAGGTTTAAAAGCTAGGTTCACAATGAATTAGGATTGTAATTTTCAGAGAAAACACAATTATCTCTGTCATGTCTTATGTAATTTTTTGAATATAAAATAATTTTTTTTAACCACATTGCTCTAGATTACAAATTGACACAGGTACAATTTGGTAAAGTACAATGGTGTTACATGTCTTTGGAGCGTATTTCATTTTGTTATCAGATGGCGGTCGTAATTTGCAGTGAGCTCTCTTACTATTACCAATTAAGCATTCCAACGACCTGTCAAACAATAGCTGTCTGTGAGGTCTGGTATATCTAAGGGGGTAAATCAAAGTATGTGGGGTAGAGACATAAGCTTTGTCCCAACATCTCACAAAACCGTAATATTACGGTCATCGTCATGCCCAGTAAATAAAAACCTATCAATAAAGCCCAAAGTCGAACGGTTTTTATTTACTGCGCATGACGATGACCGTAATATTACGGTTTTGTGAGATGTTGGGACAAAGCTATAGTCTTGCATCTTGAACGTTTTTTTTATTCCAAATAATAGTCACAAAGCCTGCCAATTTATGAAAAAATGTATCTTATTTTTATTGTGTTTGACATAAAATATTTAAATGTAAATTATTCATGATTTTACGTATTGTAAATAGAATACATCGTATGTCGCAACCCTTGGATATATCAAATCTTCCCACTGGCAGTTCATTTGTTTGGAATGCCTAGACAACCGCCTATATTCAAACAGCAGTCTTCTGCGCATCCTGAATTTGTATCCCTGGAGTGGATGCTATTTTGGAACATCCAATTGGTCCGAGTGAGCGAACTGATTCTTTTAGCTATAAACTGTGGCATTGGTATATTTGTATTTCTCATCGAGATAGAATGAAGTAGAGACGACATAAACACTATTTTACGATATGACAAATGGACGCACTTAGCGATGCCTGACTGACGGAAAAGTGTAATCAAAATGGCTACTTAAGAGTCGTACTTTGATTTATATGAAGTCAATAATTTTATATTTGAAGACAGACGGAATGAAAATGTTTTATATCATTTAAATGGTGCTATTTTAAAAAAATAGCATTTATTTTCAACTAAACTGACTAGCTCCGCTAGCTGGAGTTTGACACATGTAATACACAAAGGTGCGGACACTTTTAGTATCCTTATAGCATCTCCTCTTTATTATATCTCAATGGTATTTCTTGTGCTAGCAAATCGAACGCAAATTTCAACCTACAAGTAGTTAGGATGACAATACGTACAGCTTTTTCAGTCTGTCCAGTATTTGATCATGTACTATAACAAAACACCGTATTTGTCCCGCAAAACACCATTATTACCAGCAATGTAATACATAATGTACTTAAACGTAACAAATAAGACAAAAACGTAATACATGAGTTCTCTCTGTTTTAGTATGTATCTTTAGGGAGCTAAAAAAAAGGTCATCTGATTCTATTCATGACTGTACCTAGATGAAAAATTTACAAAACAAGTATTAGAAATTAAAAATTTAAAAAACCGACTTCAAAAACGTGCAGATGTCTTCACCGCATCTTAACCAAATTTATATGGGACCACCCCTGAGGTACCCCCTTACTAACAAAAAAAGACTCATAAATCGGACAAGGTGGTAAAGCATTAAACATACATAAAAAATGAAGAGTTTGAGGATTTTCTCATGGGCCCAATTATTAGATTTTGACCAAATTTATATGGGACCACCCCTGAAGTAGCCCCTTTCTAACAAAAAAAGAATTATTGAAATCGGACGTGTTAAAGAATTATCGCTGAACATACATAAAAAAAAATATCGCGACGAATTGATAACCTCCTCCTTTTTTGAAGTCGGTTAAAAAAGGTCCCCGATAATACAAATTAAGTTGCTATTAGGTGTGCTCAGACAGTCAGACAAGATAGTCAATTTTTACTTTCCTATCTGTATAGATATAAGGAAAGTATAGGAATCCTGATTTTTTTCGACCTCGAGTTTTCGACGGATTTTTACGTTTTCCCTGGATCCATTTTGACTATTTTCGCGATGATGTGTGTGTGTGTGTATCCACCATAACTCATGAACCGATACACAGAAAAACACCAAATTTTAAACTTAAGCTTTGTTTCAGCGTCCAATGTGATGATCGGAACATCTGGGGGGGTACTTTATAGGTGGTAATTTTTATATTTTATGGAATATATCTGTTATTTACGTTTGGAGAAGAAAATTCTTCAAATAAAAGTTACTTCTAATATAATTATCTATAATTTTTGTTCTATACAAAATTTTCCTAAAATGGTCCGTATTCGAGAAATTTGACAAAATGAAAAAATATTTTTTTATAAAAATTGTTCAAATAAAAGTTGTTATATAATTCTCTACAATTTTTATTCTATACATAATTTCTCTAAAATGGACCGTATTCAAAAACGGATAAAGAAAAAAACAATAAAATTTAAACTTAAGTTTTATTTCGGCCTGACGTGAAATGATTAAATTTTGAACAAAGTCGGAACATCTGGCTTTATAGGAGGCCTTTTTTATATTTTATTTACGTTTGGAGAAGAAAATTCTTCAAATAAAAGTTACTTCTAATATTATTATCTATAATTTTTGCTTTATGTCAAAATTTCCTGAAATGGTCCGTATTCGAGAAATTTGACAAAATGTGCAAAATTCTGATTTTTATGAAAATTGTTGAACTAAAAGTTGTTTGCGATATCGATCTCTATAATTTTTGTTTATATATGATTTTTCTAAAATGGACCGTAATGGAAAAATTGGAAGAAGAGTGCTAAATTTAAATTTTTCAGCATTTTCGTTTTCAATTAATATCTATAGAAAAATGTTTCGAGGTAGATGTATGGGAAAATGTATATATTTAGTTTAACCTCTAAATATTTATAGAGGTGCTGCAATAGGTTGTACAAAATAACCGGAAAAAGCCTATAATAACTAGATAAGAAAGTCATGTGTTGGACACATCAGATTTTTGGTTACAGTGACATAAATAAAAATATGCCAGTTTTATTGAAAATAAACTAATACACATTATTGAATGGTGGGTGTGGTTTTCTTCACATATAAGTGAAATAACATCATCATCAATCATCTTTAAGTCACCATGGAGCGCCACGGTAATATTAATATCCGTCCCTTCCCTTCACTCGTAAGGGGGTGAATTAAGTATTATTTTTTTTGTGTGTCATCGGCTTCAACTACCAGGGTTATTTCGCCTCGTGTTCTGTGTAGGCTTTGTTACTGTTTCCCAGCGCCACTTTAGGAACAGCACTGTTAATTAGAACCCAACAGTGAATGGTCGAGTGGGGAACCCTACCAAGGCATCAGAATTAATTTTAAATAATTAAATTAAATGAAAAAATTTCATTATTATTATAAACTTGTTATTGTTTAAATACAAGGTGAGTACTAACGTTTCCAAAAAATATTTACAGGAAACAAGAAACTATAAAATGAATGTTCTCAAAAAATCTGTTTTTGAGTTGTGTCAATATTCTTGTGTACCAATGATACTTTGACACCATATATTTTATTAATTTTCATAGTATTCATATTTTTAAAATAATGTGCGCCGTCACAGGTAAAATCATTTGCAAAGGAAATGTTTACTGGGTATAAAACCGCTGTTCAATCACTTCATATAAAAGTGTTTCTAAAGTAGTCCATGGAAAATATCACATACAGAAATTTACAATTCTTCTTTTTTAAATCACAGTTTGGACTTCACTTAGAAGCATGTAGTTAGCATGACTTAATCGGCCATCGCGTACTTTGGAAACATTTTTTGTGAATTACTTGTTTTGCATTCGTTAGATTGCAGTTACAAATTCTATAATTTTATTGGAATAATTACATTGATTTACATTGTTTAGAGTGACAGGTAAAGGGAACAAAGTATGATTGTCATTTTTCCATGGCCAACAGGACATTAAATAAAAAGTGCATGGTCATTGTTGTGTTTGATGCTACAATAAATAAATTTCTTGGAATTCATTCCACAAAATTCATTCCACAAGATTATAAAAAAAATAATACGAATATTTTGTAACCCTTAACTCTTTTAATATTTATTTACATAAAAAAAATAACAAAAATAAATTTGCAATAACGATTTTCTGTAGTAGACACCTAAAACAAAGAAAGAAGTGAACTAAACCAAGTATCTACCTAATAAAGTGCCTCGATTAAAATATACCTGTATATTATCCAGTAAAATTATCTTTTTCTTTTCTAAGATTATGCATTGCCGTCACTGACGAATTACACTCGGCATGATTTTGTATTTCCGGCAACATAACCCTCATAAATGGATTAACTGCCTTCTCTTCAGCTATTGTACTAGGAACCTATAAAAATAATTATTACTACTTCACTTTTTAAAAATTGTACACTTATTACTGTAGGAAGGCCATTTTTTCTTCTAGCATCAGCCCATTCTATTTTCTTTAATACTTCAGGATTGTTTCTATCCACAAATCGGGCAAATTTAAGATTTTGCACTGTATATTCATGACCACAAAAGACTTGAGTGTTATCAGGGAGGCGACCCAGCTTCTCTATCAAGGCTGTATGCATTTGTTCAGCGGTTCCTTCAAAAAATCTTCCGCAACCTGCTACAAACAAGGTATCACCTAAAATAAAAATGAGAAGTAAAAATAAATGCTAACATTTCAGACTAAAATATCTGCTTCTTATATGTGTATTATTAATATTCTTTTAAGTACTTTTATTTTATTAAATACCTGTAAATACCACTGGGTCCTGGCCAGGCGCATTTAAGTAATAACAAATATGTCCAGTTGTATGACATGGTGTAAATATACATTGAACTTTTATATTTCCTATATCAAATGTATCGTTATCTTTAACCAAGTTTGTCAAAGCTCCAATTCTTTGATCCCCGCCAAATACTTGAAGAGGGCCAGGAAATTTTTTTACGAGTTGTTCATTTCCTCCTGCATGATCCCTAAAAACTTTAAAGTTACACAGACAGGAAAATTATGTTAAAAATAAATATCTTTTTTTAAGAGTATAACTATACTAAAGTCTACTCAGATTTCATTTACGCCGCGTCAAAACAATTTCTCCCATCCAGCAACAGCTCACGTGACATTTTTTTGCGCTTCTATTGGTTAATCGGTCGTTAGTCATTTAGACGACGCGCAAATATTTTTTGTCAGAGTCGAATTCAGTTCAATTTGGATAAACGGCGTTTTGGTAGCATTCACCGTGTTGGTTGGTTTGGACATTTTGTATGTTTGATTGATTATAATTCATTATATTATAGTTTAGATATACATATATTGTGTTATTTTTGTTTTTTTTTGTTTTTGTGGTTGTTGTTAGTTTGAACATGTTTTACTCTATTTTATGGACATTTAATTGACTATATTTTGTAATTGCTGCGTGACACTATGTCCTCCACAGATACAGCAGATGAAGTCCAGAAAAATGTTTTTACTCCTTCTAAAAAGCGACTGAAAAAGGGACATTTGGTCATCCGTACTAAAGAAATGGTTCTTAATATTTATAAGCATTAAATTTTATAGAACCCTGATATGTTGGTACATGATGTTGAAAGGAGAGTTGCTGATAAAACAGGGATGTGCGCTAAAACCGTTTTTAATGTTATGAAGGAGTATAGGCAGATTCATAAATTTTCTGAACCAAAAAGAAAGCTACGTTATAAACAAATTAGTGGCTCTGTGGACGATTTTGATAAAAATGCAATAAGGCGCAAAGTACATCAATTCTTCTTTAGAAATTAACTTCCAACAATTGATAAGGTTTTATAAGAAGTCAACGATGATCCATATTTGTCTACTTTTAAGCGAGCTACATTTTACAAGCTTTTCAAAACCCTTAATTTTAAATTTAAAACTCGAGGAAAAAATAGTTTGCTTTTAGACAAAAATGAAATTGTTTCGTCCTACGCCACAAAAAATAAAACGGTACAGAGAAGAAAAGTAAAAAATATATTATCTTGAAGAGACTTGGATTAACGCAGGCCACACCAAATCAAAAGTATGTTTCGATATGTCGGTTTTTTCATCCAGACTAGCCTTTTTGGATGAACTTTTAACTGGTTTTAAAAACCCATCAGGTATGTGCGTAAAACAGCTCATTATATGCCATATTGGAAGTGAAGAAGGCTTTGTCTCTAATGCACTTTATGTATTTGAGTTGAAAAATCCGGTGACTAACCATGAAGAAATGTGTGGAGAATCGTTCAAAGAGTGGTTTTCAAACACCCTACCAAAATTAGAAGATAACTGCATTATTATTCGAGAAAGCTGGAAAAAATATCTCCGACGTCTAAAAAAGGTGATATTTAAAAATGGCTATAAGGGAAAAAAATTGAATTCGACTACCAAATGCTTAAGATCCAACTTCTTAAACTTGGTAAGCAACATAAACATTATGATAGGTATGTAATAGATGAAATGGCTAAGCAGCAAAACAACATAATACTTTACATGTCTCCGTATCATTGTGAACTTAACCCTATTGAATTAATCTAGGTTGACGTTAAACAATACGTAGCAGATAAGAACTCAACATTTAAATCTGGAGACATTAAAATTTTTTTTGAAGAAGTAATATTATTAATTTCTCCAGAAAAATGGAAAAAGTGTATCGACCATGTTCGCCAAAAAGTTGAAGTAAAAATGTGGGAGTTGGATAATATTATAGAGGTTCAGGTAGAACCACTTGTAATTTTGATTAATGAAGATAGCCTTTCAAGTCTAACTAATTTATCCGATTCAGAATAGTGTTAAACAATACGTAGCAGATAAGAACTCAACATTTAAATCTGGAGACATTAAAATTTTTTTTGAAGAAGTAATATTATTAATTTCTCCAGAAAAATGGAAAAAGTGTATCGACCATGTTCGCCAAAAAGTTGAAGTAAAAATGTGGGAGTTGGATAATATTATAGAGGTTCAGGTAGAACCACTTGTAATTTTGATTAATGAAGATAGCCTTTCAAGTCTAACTAATTTATCCGATTCAGAATAGTGCTAAGTCAAGTAAGGAAGATTGCTATAATACAGGGTACAAGTTATCTAATCTAAATACTAGTAGAACAAGAACAATAAAGAACAAAAGTTATCAAAAATACAAAAGGTTTCTTTTTAAGATGCACAATTTTAAATCAAATACCTCTTATATTTAAAGTTTTTTTAATTTTATAATATGATTGTTTTAATGCTCTGTATCACAGTAGACATATGTAATGAACTAAATATAATGCAAACATCTCTTTTAAAGTCAAATACATTTATTAATTTGTATTGCAGGTTAACGCAGTTTATGTCGCTCACTTATCTTCGTCCAGAAATGTCACTAAAGTCTGAGAGACCGTGTATGGCATTTATTTTATAGTTTTACTTTACAAAATATGTTTTTATCGTAATAAAAAAATAATTTCACAATTACACTCTTTTATTTTACATTTTTGCAAGACGGAAAAGTAAAATACGGCCCTGCTCAATTTTAGCGTCCACCTGCTTCTGTTTACATCAGGCGTAAATTAAATTTGAATAGACTTTAAATTTGGAAAAACTTGTTAGTTAAAGGAAACGAGAATAGTGAAAAATTGATATTACAGAGTCTTCGGGACACTAGATCCCTAAACATCTTAGTGTCGGTGCACACGAACGTATTTATACGGTGCGGTAACGCAACGTCGACGCTGCGGTGTCGCAGAAGTGTTTTTGACTAGAGTGCACACGAGCGCCCAACGCATGTAGTATTCTCTCAGCACGACGCAGTGATGGAGGTCGAATATGAACAACGCGTTTTGTTTGCATATTACGTATACAAGTTTTATATTTGTAAAAAGAAAAAAAATATTGGGTACACCCTTATGTAAGCGCTCGTGCATTACAAGGAGCATTTGCTCGTGATTTTATGGATCTCAGAGGTGACGAGGTGAAGTTTTTTAATTATTTTCGTATGAGTCAAAAATCATTTGATGAATTACATGTTAAACTAAGCGAAAGCCTAAACGCACAAGACACGAATATGAGATTGGCAATATCTCCGATGAAGATGTTAGCTGTTACATTACGGTAAGTAAAAAAAATAAACAAATGGAGTAAATACATTTATTAATAATTACTGCTGTGAATACAAATCGTAATCGTATGTAGAAGGTAAATGTTGAGATTGGGAAGATGGAGAAGCAAGGTCTGGGGAGAATGGAGGCAAAGGATACCTTTGAGGTACCGAAGTGAATGTTTGAGTTTTCGACGGTCTTTGGGATGTGAAATGATCAGAATTTTGCAGCTGAGTATGTGAACGAATGGGTGTCGGTTGAGTAACAAAGTGAAAATGTTGCATTTCATGTTGGGATTGTATAGGAAGCAGGCCTGACTGATAGCGCTTGACCATCTTCAAAAGCTCTAATCGAAATTCAATTTTTTGGTCCGGTGTAAATCCTTGAACCATCGGCAATAGGGAGTTAAAGAATGCTATATCTTCGTCGTCGTCTGGGGCTGGCGTTGGTGCGGGGCACTGTTGCATAAATGTCAATTAAGCATCTTCTATTTTCCTTTTCCTCGGAGGTGCCGTAGATGCGGTTCGACGTTGAGCGGTTCTTGAAGGACCGGGAATCTCATCAATATTCCCGGCGGGAGGCTCTTCGTTGTCGGCTTCGGCATCTTCTTCCTCTGCTTGGGAACTAGCTTCCGTTGGAATATTTTCCCGCGTTCCCATCAAAAAGTCCAGCTGGCGGGCGTATATGTACCTTCGGCCGGTTTCGGCTGCTTGGCCGGACTTTGTTATCTTACGTTGGAAACGCATGAAGTTGTCTCTCACATTTCGCCAGCGACCCATAATTGTTTTTCCTGAAATATAGAATTAATGTATGATATTGATTTAGTGAATATGCATAAAAAGTTGGGTATTATTTGGTGATATTTATGTTATTGTTTTATATATTTGGGTGGAGGAAGGACCTTAGTTAAATTACATTACTCCTACCGCATTGGGCGTTCAACTTTAAGCAAATTGGTCAGAAAAGTGTGTCGAGCACTGTGGACTACTCTTCGTTGTGAGATGTTTCCGGCATATACTGAAGATCGATGGTCAAGTATTTGCGAAGGATTTGAAACGAAAACGAATTTTCCAAACTGCATTGGAGCGATAGACGGAAAGCACATCAGATGCATTAAACCGAGCCTAAGTGGATCCTTATATTTTAATTATAAGCATTACTTTTCATTCGTCTTATTAGCCATCGCAGATGCTTCATACAACTTTATTTACATAGACGTTGGTGCACCAGGCAAAGATTCCGACAGCACTATTTTTGAGAAGTCTTCCTTTAATATACAGCTAGAAAATGGTTCATTAAACATTGCACGCGGAAAAGTATTACCCGGAACTAACCGAATAATGCCGTATTTGTTGCAGATGAGGCGTTTGCTCTATCGCGGCACATTTTGCGACCTTTCAGCGGCAGATTTTTAAGTTATGAGAAACGAATTTTTAACTACCGCCTCAGCCGAGCACGACGTTATGTTGAATGTACATTCGGTATCTTGACCAACAAATGGCGCATTCTACATCGACCGCTAAATGTCAGTTTGGACAAAAGATATAGTGAAAGCCTGTTGCATTTTACATAATTTCGTACGTAATCGCGATGGATATTCATATGATGATACACTAACTACTAACGGACTATTTGCCGATGAAGCTGTCCCGACTGTACCTCAAGGTGGACGTGCTCTAAACCAGCAGCGTCACACATGGGCTGATTATTTCGTTAGTGACGCAGGGCGAGTGCCTTGGCAGGATCGAATGGTGTAAGCCTAGTTACCAAAACTTATTCTAAATGCTACACTATTCTAGCATATGCTACCCAAATGGAGCACTAGCGCTTGTCGTGATAAATTGTTAAAGTTATATTAACGAAGCGTAAACAGATTTTTTGGGAAAAAAGCCGTTTTCTTTAAA